GAAACTGTAGAACTGCATATCTACGCTTGCGGCGTTGCGGAATTCCTATCACACTTTATTTTCTACATTAGAAAAAAATAAAGGTAATTTTTCAAAATTACAATGATTTTTCCCCTCTTAATAAAGGATTTTAAGCGAAAATGTCAAGCAATGTTCTTGATTTGGTCTCCTTTAAGAACATGAAATAGAAACTGAGATTATGGAACACCGCAACTGAGGTACGCATTACAGCAGTTTCACCGTCAAATTGTACACTAGAAAAAAAAACACATTGGATCTCGAGTCCAGACTCTAGAAAAAATTAAGGAAAAAAAAATACTCTTCATTCAATCGGATTTTTGCTTGAATCAAAAGGAATTCCGCTTAAATTAAAAGGCTTGGTTCTTCATTTAAGTTAGATTCTGATTGAATCAAGAGTACTTTTTCTTGTCGATGTTTTTAAGAGTCTGGACTCTACATCCAATGTGTTTTTTTTTCCAGTGTATCTCTATGTTCTGTCATCAAGCCGCGTCTCTTATTAATAAAATTCGAGAAATGTGTGATCAAAATATGCTGCAATATGTCCTCATCAATAATCATTTTGAATGAAAATGAGTAATAACGTGTTCAAGGTCTCTGTACAGAAATTGCATACACTACAAAATTCGAAAAAAATAAAATTATAATCTTCAAGATAAACGAAACGAGTATGAAAATACAGTTAAATGTGGTGAGTAGCTGTTCTCCGGATGATTTACAAGCTGCCTGAGGTCGAAAAAGGATATTATCATGATGGCTGAGTGTCCGCATCTGGTCATATGTCATTAGCTAATGGCACTATACAGACGGATCACTACAATTTTTTGAACTCCTAAATTTATCTTGGATATTATTATGAAGGCTATGTCTGAAGGGGTACTTTCACTCGGCCGAAAGTCTAGCTTCCGAAGTATCTCCGCGGGTGGAATTAAAATACTCCGATCAATTGAAGTTGCCTCGAGTTCAGGACACAAGCGCGAGGAGTAATCGCATTTAGACGCCGGGACTGTGAAAGCGGGGGTACACGCCGATGTAGACAAGGGTGACTTGACGCTCGCAACCCCTTTCCCCGACTCGGAGAAGGGGGTCGAGCAGTATTTGTTCTAACGACACTTACAACCAAAATCACTTCTGCCTAACCGAAGTGTTCGTTTCGCGCTCGCTCTTGGCTAAGCGTCGCTGCAAAGCAGCCGCCGGCTGTAGTTTCGAGAGGCCGCGAATTGACTCGCGAATTTGACTTGCAACGACTCGAAATCGACTTCCCGGGCTCCGCTTCGCTTCCGATCAGAGCGTCTTGAACGCACGGTGCGCAATGTCTGGAGGGATCTTTGGGTCTAAATGGACCTTACAACGACGGGAGGAAAATGCTAGATACATAGAGGTTGAGAATACTGAAGGTGATGTTGTATCCTTACATACATGTTCCCAAACTAATATGGTGACGGTTAGAAATGTACTCAACGTGCGTTAAAGTACAGAAAACTAGAAATCTCAATACAGAGGAAAAAAGCTCGTTCGAGCACTATTTGTCCCCAAACAGATACGCTGTTTAGTGCAACACTAGTTACGACTATTTAGGAAGGCAACTGCAGACGCGTTTCGGGTCTAATCTTGGTTGCCATCTTTGTCATAATTTTGATCGGGATTTGACAGAAATTTGAGCGTGTAACCAGGCCATTACTTAGCGAATCGCTTCGGCGCGCGCACAAAACCTAGGGTGTATTTTGTGTGTAAAACATGGAATTCCATATGCCTAGTCTCTAACCCGTAGATTGTTGGAACAATACAGCTCCATGAGACAAGCATCCTCTTCTCTCTATCTAATCACAACTTCGGTTTATAATGTCAATCCTTATCCGGCATCCGGCCCAACCAATGATCGATGATGTAAAAGGAGAAGTTTTCTCGGCTTTGAACTACCAGATAAACCTGAAAATGATGTCACAGGAGACGGAAGACAGGGTCCTCAAATTATTAGTAGTACTTAGTAGTAAAAAAGGACAATAAAAACAAAAAGTGAATGATTAACATCATGTATGACAAAGGGCTGATCCGGCTGCTGGAAAAACTGCCCTCGGAACAATTAAAGCTGAGACTCAGTAATTTCAATAACCAGGGAGTTTATGCGACCCCGTAAAAATGTCGCTTAAGGAGTCGTTACCCGGTGAGATTACGACACCGTTTTAAACAAGTAATTGAAGCGCCAACGGCACAACTTGGACTGGCCCGGAAAGCTACATGGAGAGCCCGGCAGACAGAGCTGCTGTGTTGAGAAAAAACGACATACAGGTATTCGGATGTTGCCTAATGTTCCTGGATAAAATGTTTGTTTCTCCTTGCAATTTTCAAAAACAAATTCCGTTCTAAAAAAAAAGAAAGAAAAAAGACGGGCAAAGCTGCTGTGTTTGAGAAAGAGCGATTTGCAGGAATGTTGCCATATGTTCTTAGATAACAAATGACCTGCATATCCTTGCAGTTTTAAAGAAAAAATCAGTCGAAAAACAGAACCTGCAGTACTTTTGGGACATCCCCTGTAAAAGGCTGTAAAATTGCTGAAGAACAGTAAGCAAATATTGCACGTCTATTCATGGTTTCTACCGGGAATACAATTTTTATCAAAAGAAATTTTGCAAGGTGCGGAGGCACAAACTACGTTGCTCCCTCATACAATAGTGCACTGATACAAATTTGCGAAAAATTAATGTGAGTTTTTTGTCATCTAAAATCATCAGAATTCTGTCCTTTCTGGAGGCTTCACCTATACTATTGAATACATTATTCTGCTTCTTATTGCATGCTAATCTACTCAGATGACTCGTAGCTTGAAGCAAGTTAATCAGTTCTCATGAGAATAGTAAAATCGAGTCGAAAGCAACAAAAATTCCGATTTTGATCTACTTGAACTTCGCCTCAAACTGCCTTGACTTGATGGCTGATACGGCCTAGAAGTGAGGCCTCGTTTGCTTCCATCTACGAAATAACTGACTCGATTTGCCTTCGTTGAGAATAATGTGTTTCATATTAGGCGAGGCCCCCCAGGACGAATAAAATTCTGACTTTAGAGGTTAAAGAACCAACGATAATTTGTCAAGAGTTTGAACTTCGTCGGAAGAAATTTGGCAACATGTGAAAGTTCGTAAACGATGTTTATCGTTAACACGGCAGGGAACTTGACGATTTTCGCGCGGGTGCATCCCGGCAGGCCGCTGCCCCCGCTGAAAATTGAAACGGGAGCGAGCGACGCGACTCCCCGATTCGGGCGGGCAAAATAATTATTCCTAGGCTTTACGAGCCATTAAATTCCCGATCGGAGTAATTTCATCTCGGCCGTTCGCGACTTCGGATTAATGAAAATCAAACTTTCAAACGCCTCGTAAAACGAATAATTAAGTCCGCTTTTTTGTCATTTCCGCGGGGTGGCGGAGCTTGGGGTGAGTTTCCGCTTTAGACGTGGATTCGAGCGTTTTTGAATATTTTTCAGAGCAAATTCGAAAGACGATTCCTCGGATATGCGTGTGTAAAAGAAGCAATACTGAAAAAGGCGAATAGTTTCATATTGTTAATGATTTATCATTAGAGTGCCTCTAAGTTCCAGAATAGGTTATTACAAATGGGTTGTTCTGGTAGGTTAATTTTCAGGAAGTAAGTTCTTTAAGAAATGTTCGCGTTGTCAAGATGGACGTTAAAGCCTTAGTTTCCACCAGTCATGACAAGAACACACACCCAAGATTAGGCGTTAATTGGGAGCAGTTAGGCAGGAAATTGAGAGTTCTTGCCGCTCTGGTTGCTAGCACATATCGATGATTGAGACTGTTGCACCTTTTTTTCGTAATATTTGGACAGCAGTACGGTCTACTACTGTAATTTCTGTTTTAATGAACGCAAACGCTAGACTTAGAACTTGCAAAATTAGTGTCAATGAACGCATTAAAAAAATGAGGTATTATTCAACTGAAATACCGGCATTTCTGGTATTTCAACGCTTCAGATCCGTTTTCCGTCTTCCTGCTCGGAACCATTATGCGATTTTCCAAAGCTACGAGTGGCTCCGTTCTCGTATATAGGTCGAAAAAACCTGAAATGTAGCCTGTGGGAGAAGTCAGATGCTTTGCCAACCATTTTTTCTGATTAAATTTTAACATTTTTCTTCTTCCATTTCCCACTATGACACATTTAACACTATGACGTTCCCCAGAACGTTGAACATGTAAAATTAGTATCAACGAACACGCGAGCTGAAAATAAAGTGTTGGCCACCTGAAATACCGGTGTTTTCGGTATATGAACCCTCCCACGTATGGGCGCACGTCTACCAACTTAGACCCGTATTGCTTTCCGGTTTTTTCAAAGCTTGAATACACTCGGCTCGTATTTAGGTCGAATAAACCTGAAATGGAGCATGTGGGATAAGTCAGATGCTTTGCCAACCATTTTTTCTCATTAAATTTTAACATTTTCTTCTTCCATTTCCCAAAATAACAGAACGTTGAACCTGTAAAATTAGTATCAACGAACACACGAGCTGAAAATAAAGCGTTAGTCACCTGAAATACCGGTGTTTTCGGTAAATCGACCCTCTTGCGTCTGGGCGCACATCTACCAACTTAGACAAGTATTGCTCTCAGGTTTTTTCAAAGCTCGAATACACTTGGCTCGTATTTAGGTCGAATAAACCTGGAATGTAGCCTGTGGGAGAAGTCAGATGCTTTGCAAACGATTTTTTCTTATTAAATTTTATTATTTTTCTTCTTCCATTCCCCAGAATGTTGAACATGTAAAATTAGTATCAACGGACACACGAGCTGAAAATTAAGTGTTAGTCACCTGAAATACCGGTGTTTTCGGTAAATCGACCCTCCTGCGTCTGGGCGCACATCTACCAACTTAGACAAGTATTGCTCTCAGGTTTTATCAAAGCTCGAATACACTTGGCTCCGTTCGCTCGCTCCGTTTCGTTAAATGGACTGTCGTTGTGATTTCAGACAACCAATACTGGCTGGACTCGGCGCTGGCGGCGATGCAGCAGAAGCTGGACACGGACCCGATCAGGGGGACGGCCAAGAACGTCATCATGTTCCTCGGGGACGGCATGTCCGTTCCGACCGTGACGGCGGCCCGCATCTACGCCGGCCAGCTGGCCAAAAAGAAGGGCGAGAGCTCGTCCCTCGCCTGGGAGCGCTTCCCCTACTTGGGACTCGCCAAGGTAACAAGTCAACGTCAATCCCCCTCCCCTCCCATGGGGGGAATTTCAATCTGTTGTAGAATCCTTTGATTACATTATACGAAAAAAAAGAAAGAGAGAAAAAAATTGACCGAACGTATCGGCACATTTCGCCGCTCTTCTGATGTGAGAAATTCTTTAAAATCCGCATGAGTCGTGGAAGCAAAAGGATAAACGAAGAACAGGGCTCACATGAAAATTGAGATGCATCCTTACGTCTGAGGAGCGACGATTTCGGTAACTATATTTGGATCGCATTCAGCGAAAATGAACCATCGTGATTACAGTAAAGTAAAAATGTTGCATCTTCATGATTATCTATAAAATCTCCCAGAATAGCAAGGAGTTTGTCTTCTCACTTGTTTCGTGTGCTTGTGTTACTTTTTGTGTGCTTGCGCAAGTAGTGCTGTTTGACTTTAAAATGTCATATCTTGTGATATAATTTTTCCTACGGCACAAAAGGTGGTCCTTTGGAGTTGAGGTGCATTCAACCTCTGCAGACCCACAGAGGTTGAAATTCATGGTTGTAGGTAGACGCTTTTGTGCCTGATAGAGAATGGCTGGATATTGTTAGATTCGTAAAATCACAATGGACCACTAGATAAGGTACGAATTTCAGCATTCTGATACATGTTTCTTAACCAATATTTTACGTAGAACACGATGCGCACAACAAAAATTACCGCAATCAACTCCTTACGAAGATATTTAATGATTTTTGATGAGTGAATTGAAACCACCCGCTCATGAAAACTCAATGCTCTACGTGATTCACATCGCGCGCTAAACGTTATCATGACAGTCTCTACGATATACAAATCTGGCAACCTCAATCTTGACACTTTGGCTCAGCTATAGCAAATTGCTTGTAGTTGGAACAACACATGGTGGTAAATGAACATTGCTCGATTGAGAAGCTTGCTGAAACCGTTGTAGTGCACGATTTGACTCACGTAGAGTTTTGAGTTTCTCGTGAGCGGGCAGTTCAAATTCCTCGTAACCAATGTGAAATAAAAACGTTAATATCTTCGTAAGGAGTTGGTTTCAGTAATTTCTGTTGCGCGAGTCGTGTTTTACGTGAAATTTTGGTTAAGAAACAAGTATCAGAATCCTTTAACTCGTACCTTGTCTAGTGGTCCATTGTAAAAAAGACTGTATAGAATTCCCAAATAAAAGGAGCAAGTTTTGGGGAGGTTCTTGTTGGGCCCGTGGAATTTGAGTATCAAGGGGGATTTTTCACAAAACAACACGGCGAGCAATCGTCATTTATTTTTTTAGGTATTTAAGTTATTACTCCTTCATTTTAGGCGCTTTATCAATAACCGCGATACGATTGATGTTACAGACATACTGTGTGGACAAGCAAGTAGCTGACTCGGCTTGCACGGCGACAGCCTACCTCAATGGAGTCAAGAATAATTACGCAACCATCGGGGTCAATGCAAAAGTTAAACGAAAAGACTGTGCCGGTAGGTCATGATTTCACCTCTTACAGCACACAGTGGTACAGAAACAGGACAAAAGAAACATATGCTCAGCAGAGGAGGGGAAAGATCATGAGATGACAAAATTACTTTCTGATGGATGAAAAAGTATCCGAAGATTCCGATATCCGAAGTTCAAGGCTCGCGTTGAGCGAGAACCGATTAATGAAAGTGGTGTTAATGGTCATTTTAGGGTCATCTTATATCAAAACGAGTCAATACATTTCATTCATGATTTTAGGGACTAGAAAAAGTACATCAATTAAGAAGGTAATTGGAAGTGACTAATTTCGTGTAGAAAAATAAATTAAAAACATCACTAATTTTTCATACGCGAAAAAAAAAATTCTCAATCCCAACTACGTTACACTACTAGCTGATTTGGGCGCCATATATTACAGTAGTTAAACCAGCCAGATGTACAGTTTGTTGATCCAACCACACTTTCGGCTGTCTCAACCAAACCTCTATGGACCTCTGGCTGGAGCAACTACTATAATATCTGGCGTCAAAATCAGCTAGGAGTAGAATTGGGATTGTGATCCCATGTGTGGCATGGAGGTATAATGCATTAAGTGTTTCTCACAAAAAAAAAGAGTTGGAGTCTTTACTGAGGGTTTAAGCTTAAATACGAAAAGAAATCAATTAGCCTTAAAATGTGAGCCACTGTGCGTTGATCGGACCAATGAACTCCTCTGAAAAGTTGATGTGTGACCGGTTAATACCGGATTTCGTCATCTGGACCGGTTGCAAATGTCAAGAATATTGACGTCTACTCAGCAAAGAAAAAAAGCTGGAGATCAGAGTGACGGTCAGTGGCCATACATTTAATTTATTCATGCAAAAAACCTGCATTTGAAAACGGAATAAAAATCAGAGAAAAGACTCCATCTGCATGTAACATCGATGAATGTGATTTGGGTTTTGAAAAAAAATGTGTTTTTACTTCACCTACATTCAAAAAGCTAAGCTGTAAAACCTAATTATTAGAGACATATGCGAACACGGAGTACGGCTCAGCTTGAAGAGAGACACTTTAACTAAAAATTTGGACCCCAAGTCAAGAGAAAATGAACAAAAAAAGATTTAACTAGTGGGATTTAAGGATTCACTTCCGATATATTTAATGGGAGTAAAATATTTTCGGAAAAATTTTGGCATTCAGAGGGGCCTTCTGCGATTTGGTCATTATGAAATTCATCTTGAGGACCAGTGGCTTTGCTTTGGGAACGATCTAATAGGATTATTTACCAAGCTCTACTTGTACGTATTCACCCCTCCCACTCAACATAGTGTGAAGCGTGATATCAAGACGGCCCTCACGTAAGAGCGGCGAATGTCATATGAAAACTGAGGTCAAATATGCCATTTTGAGCACGGCTGGAAGACGCAAACACTTAACTGGACAATTCAGATGCACCTCCTCCGCATCATATTCATCGCTTGATACGTGCGCATTTGTTAGAGACTTCCGCGTTGTGCGGAGTATCTAAAACGAGCATACTCCTTGATGACAATTGGATGCCGTGTGTTTCACATGCAAGAAAGTTCCCTCCACAGATACTATCTCACAGGATTTTTGCCATGCCTTTAAATTACTTCAAGTTTAATCTCAACTTCATCCTCGACGAGAAATTAAGAGTGTCATTATTTCAAAACAGAAGGTGATCCTCTTGAGCCGCCCACGCCTGGGAAAAAAATTCAAGGGGCACAAGTGCAACAAGGGGTACTCCAGAACCGAAAATGGCAGGTCTCGCAGTGGACAGATTGCACTTCTCTCGGCAAGCTACTGTTACTATGTCGCAGGCAATTAGTGAAATCAGGGATTTTTTCGAATGCATAGGCAAATAGTCAAATAATCTTACTTGGATTGAAATTCTGATTCTTTTGCTAATTTAAAACAAGTAAATTATTCTCTCAAGTTGATAAGGAGTTTCTGTAAAAATTTGCATCATACAATTATGTAAATAAATTAAATCTAGTCCTTAAACGAGCTGTCAAATCTGGATTTTCAGCATGTTATATAATACTGACTTTTTAAAATTCTAAGTTAAACTGACTTTATAAAAATCTGAAAATTAAAATATATGAGGAGCATTGGGGGGCACGTAGATAAGAAAAACTAAGTTGGTAGTTTTTCGTCCACACTGCTGATTTTGTCCACAAATCGGTCACGAGGTGTCTCCGCCGTTTGAGCTCCTTCGAACAAGTTAGTGCTCTGAAATATAGCGTCATTCAGAGCCTTTACCAGGATTTCAGTTTTTCGACGAGGATCTTTATGTTTGACTTCAATTTGAAGTGTTCAGACGGATAGGAAGTAAAAATTCATCTAGTCACTGGACTTTACATGAACAGCAAAAGCTGTACCAGCTGGGACCTAGACCATCTCCACAGGCACTTAAGAACTTCAGTCAAAGCTATCTAGTCAGCCTAAAATATACCAAAACAACAGCCGTTCCGGCGCAGGTTCTCAAAGTGTCAACCAAATTGACGTCCAAACTGATGACGCCGATCCTTCAAACTAATAGGGAGCTGGGGCTCCGATTCCTTGGGTTCCTCAGCTCAGTCGTTCAGCTCAAACGTTTACCATCTAGATGGCTACTACATGTATCTAAGTAAGCTAAATTTCGACAACAGCACGCCGTGGTATATAGGGTTTATGTGGGAATGAGACATTAAATTTTACTAATAGAGTTTACGATTCTGTGGGGCAGGTTCGAAGGACGCTGCCAACCGGACGGCCTCGATCCTAAAATGGGCCCAGGACGCAGGGAAGGCGACCGGGGTGATCACGACGACCCGGGTGACGCACGCGTCTCCTGCAGGGACCTACGCGCACACCTCCGAGCGGGACTGGGAGTCCGACTTCGACATCGCCAACGACACCGAGGTCAAGGGCGTCGACTGCCACGACATCGCCAAGCAGCTCATCCTCGACGATCCCGGAAGGAACATCAAGGTGCGTATCTGCCATCGAGCGTTCACCCTCATACTCCTGACTTCGGTCGTATTGACCCAGATATTAGTAAATACTCGACCTTCAAAACTCGATATAAAACGGCAAGTTAAGACCCCTGTGAAACTTCCGTTACTCCTCATTCAATGATTATTTTTCTTATTTCTTGTAAATGATTAGCGAGATATTTAATTAGTGACTGAATACTTATGTTTCATAGTAATGTCTTTGCAGAAAATGGCATGTGAGTATTCATTTTTTTTTGTGTATATGGAAGGTAAAGCTTAAATGAAAGCATGCATTATTACTACATCTGAAGTGGAGTATTTCCCTTCTCACAGCCATAAATGTAAGAAAGATAATCTGCTTCACCACCCTATTCTAGCAGCCATGTCAAATATCAGTAATGAGAAATTAGGTGAAAACATTCCGGGTGATAAGGTTTACGACCTTACAAAAAACAAATATCTTCAGAAAATAATGAAGTTACAGGCTCCCCTGCTGGTATCCTCACCAAAAAGAGAATTTAAGAAGGGGGACGGAAAAGGCGTATGAAACGTCCCTTAAACAAGGATGATGTGACTATAGTGTTTTTTTTAATGGCTTAAAAACTTATTGAAAAAGGTGATACTCTCTGACTGTATAAACTGTTGGGTCAAGGTGTCGTCCATGGATCCATATCCATCGACTGTCTTCCTGACCACAAAGATTTATTCAAGTTTGGATAGCAAACTAAGAGACAATTGTACAGAGGAAAATTTGTCATTTACGCTCCACTTCCAGCAAAATAATACGAGTGATTATTTCTCAAAATGTAAAATTGCATACTCTGGTTGGAACACCTATTAATATTGAGCACGGACGGCGAATGGGCTGAGGCACGAAGGGGACACGCATATAGTGTGGATGGCGCACAAGTTTGTGTCTTTAAGGCGACCTGCGGGGTAGCTTCTTAGCAACTTGACGGACAAGAAGCTGGAAAGGCAGCTTGCGGATCAAAAGCTGGATCGTGATTCAACGTGAGCAATAAATTCTGCGTAAGAGGAAAAATCATAAGAACTCACTGACTGTGTCGATGATCAAAATGAAAGACTGACTTCTAAAGACGCGATAAAGCCTCAAAATAACAGCAAATACAATGAACTTAAAAGAGCCACTGACAGGGTGGAATGGTTGACAAAGCCTTTCCAAGAAGCAAAAAAATATTCGATTATGTGGAATCTGTTTTCTATTCTGGAAATGGTCTAAACAACAGGTAAGCACCACGATTCGTGGCCTAAGTACGATAATTACGTTTGTTTGAAGGAACTTGTTGGTGAGGTTTATTTCTGATTTCTTTTAGTCGTGTATTAATTTTGTTTTGTCCGTTGCGATCAGGTCATCATGGGCGGTGGAAGACGAAAGTTTCTACCCAACACCGTTAGAGATCCCGAGGGTCAAGGTCTCGGTCAAAGACTGGACAATCAGAATCTCATCAGAATGTGGGAGCAGGATAAGTCAGAGCGGGGAAGCAAACCTCAGTTCGTCTTCAACCGAAAACAACTTTTAGATCTTAATATTTTAGAGACTGATTATTTATTAGGTAAGCGGCACCCCTCTACGCACCATCATGATACCACATAAGCTTCGGCGATATACGATGAAAGTAATATCCAGGGCCAGCAGGCTGATTATTGGAATTGATAGGCGAAGCGATAGACAAAGAAGATAAAGGGGGTATGGAACGAACCTATTGGTTGAAATGGCTGGTAGAAACAAACTAAGAGAGGAAATAGTAGACTAACTATAGAATCTCTTGTGGGTTGCCGTTAGTTAGTATGTAACCTACCTCCTTCATCAGTTGCAACCACACGCTAGGATACCACCGTTAGGATCCCTCCATACATCTTACGTCTTCTTTATCTAAAGCGTTGTCTATCAATTTCAATAATCGGCCCGCAAGAGGGAGCCGTACAAGCAATGCCGCAAGGAATACACTGGTTAGCCATAATCTGAACTGCTTTGGTAATTTTTCGTAACGCTATGCATCGAAGCTCTGATCAGAGAGATCGTGAAGTTGGGTAGAAGATACCGCATGGATTGCGTGATTAAATAACTTCCTCATTAAAGGGCTAGAGGCGACCTCCCAGCACAGGCGTTATTGGAACCCGTATTCAAAATTACGGCCGAAGTGCAAGTCTAAAATTAATATAAATTCAATAATTATTGCATACTACTTTTGAATCTACTCCGAGTAAATGAGTATGAGGAATGAGCCAATGTTGCTGCCTTGAAATTTGGACCCTCGCCCATATGCTGTGTACCATGTTTAATTTCCGTCTAAAAAATGGATATTAAATCGGATATTTAATCATATTACCATGTGGTCACCGAGGACTTTCAACATTTTTCGAATTCTAGTTTTACTATACTTTCCTGTAAATGACGTAGTGGGCCTCGAAACGTCCTGTATTTGTTTTTTATTTTAGTTTTCATCTTTGCTTCCGCGATTTTCCTTCGGTTCTCGTTTAAAATCTATTGTCGATGTTGCATGCGCAGGGCTTTTCGAAGCGAGCCACATGCGTTACCACCTGGAGGCGGACCCAACGACGGAGCCGACGCTGGCCGAGATGACGGAGGCGGCCGTGAAGCTGCTCAAGAAGGAGAAGAACGGGTTCTTCCTCTTCGTCGAGGGCGGGCTCATCGACAAGGCCCACCACGAGAACTGGGCCCAGATGGCTCTGGACGAGGCCCACGAGATGTCCAAGGCCGTGGAGACGGCCGTCCGGCTCACGCAGGAGTCGGACACGCTCATCGTGGTGACGGCCGACCACGCGCACACCATGTCCATGAGCGGCTACCCGGCGCGCGGCAACGACATCCTCGCCGCCACCGAGAAGTCCGACGTCGACAACAAGCTCTACGCCACGCTCAGCTACGCCAACGGCATGGGCTACCGGGAGGCCGTCCTCGTCAAGGACGCCGACGGCAAGGACGCTTGCACCCGATTCGACCTCGCCAACGATCTCCCCGATAGTGAGTACCCCAGCTTACAACTTCCACACCCAAGCACTTGTATTTAGTTGGCTTTGAGAAAAGCAATGGAACCGGAGTGATGTCACTTTAAGTATAGAAATTGAGGTTTTACTGTGGACTTAGGGTTGATACATATCAGATTGTGGTCCCCTATTTCTTTCAATTTAAAAAAAAAAAAAAAAAATCTAATTTCAAATTTTTTTGTCATCACCAAGGCCATAAAAGTTGCAAAATTTGCGTCTTCTCAAGTTATTCACTATGTATAAAAAAAAATGTATTGAAAGGTTGATAGATTTGACATTAACATGACAAAAGCTTTTCCAAAAGATTCATAATATATATATATACAAAAAAAAGGGTGATAGGTTTAAATTAATGTCGTTCTGCACTTTACATTGCAATAACAACATACAACAATTCAGATCTACGAAACGATCGACACGATTAAGGCTTCCACTACGAGAGTCTATTCTTCAGTACAGCATTGAAAATATGAAAATCGAGCATTTTTACTTTGGTGGGAAGACCACCTTGGCTGTGAGGAATGAGAGAAATTGGGATGATGATTAAATGACACATACATTATACTAATTAATGAAGGGGGACCACTGATTCGACTGAACAGTAGTTAAGAATTGTGAGAGGAAATGTAGCAACGTTGACGTGGAGTTATGTCCCTTCGACTAAGAAACAACGATAAAGGGCGATGCTTTATTTATACCGTGTCTGGGAGCTCACTCCAGGAGCAACTCAGTGCCAAAAAATAACATCATAATCCGAAGAATAAAGGGGCGGATTGACGACCTTTTACAGTGAAATGCTGAGCACTAAGCTCGTCGGTTTATTGCGCGGATAAACGCTCCCCGAAGGAGAAGCTGAATAATTCACCTGCAAACATCCCGAGAAAAGTTTCCGCGCGCGACGGAACATCTCCAACGCCGAAACATCCCGATCGTCACCCGCCGCGCAGTGCCGAGAGCGGAAGAGTGCGAGAAGTTGGTGTTTTTCTTCGGCAATAAGCCTGCGGGCTTTCGCATCGATTTCATAAGACAAGCGCGGGCAAACATTCAACAGGTACCTGACAAACACCGCCGTATCGATGAGGATCTTGGCACTTGTTGAAAATATCCTTCCCTTGCGTGCGGGCCGATGATACTTGGAGGAGGCCATTTGTGGCGCGACGCTTTCACCTCCGTGATTGATGCATAGAGGGCCGTATTCGTAGTCGTTTTGTAAATCGGCCTTTTCCTAGAAAGGCCTTGAAGGGCTTTTTAAAGTGATCAAGACGGAGAAAAGTAGTGGGGGTTATTCTTTAAAATTGTGGTACTATCACAATTAGAGGATGGTGTGGACACTTCCAATTGAATGTCGTGGTACTACAACTTAAGTTGGGATAGTGCCACAACATTTGGGTTTGGAAAATTTATAGTGATAAATTGGAAACGTCCATATCATCCAACAGCCTCGTGCTCTTGTTTCTCCGTGAATGAAGCCTTGAACATGGAATCATAAAAAATACACTATTGGTGAGCTTCGAGTAGAAGTCTGCGAGTGAAATTCTGGAAGTGGATCCTTATAAGGGATCACATCGATCCCGAAAAGAATACATTGCTAAAAGTAATACGTAAAACAAAAGAAAATGTTGTGCGCGTTATGAGAAAATAGAAGGTAGGTTCGCGCTTACCTTTAAATTTAACAAAATCATGGATGTGTTTCTTCGGTAATATGTAATTATAGGGAGGACAAATAATCAAAATCCTCTGTGAGCGTCCATTTCCAGAATTATCTCGCAGAATTGTTATCACATTTTACAACAAAATGTATATTTGATGATACTATGTTAGGGGCTTCCTTACCTCCCATGGTACCTTAGCAAACAAGAAGGAGCCATTGATAATAAGAAAATTCCAAGCCAATTTCTGCTTTGATTCAATATCTCATTCAGAATAGCAAAAAAACCTTCCCTACTAAAAAAACAGCATGCAGAAGGGAATGAAACATGCTTATAACACCTGAAATTACTGTCTCCGCAGTTAAAATGGCGAGAGAACAGGGATTTTATCTGACATTTATTCTGGGGAGGGGAAGGGGCAAAATACCATTTACACTTCATTTAAGCCACGAGTGTTTTAAAGTTTTTCTCATGTGACCTTCAAATCTTTCCAATAGCTTTAAGTAAAATTTACTCTGACCTAAGTTAAATAACAGAAGGCATACGCTATACGCGTTATTCCTCGCTTTGCCTTGCGTTTTTATCATTCAAGCGAGCATGCATGCATGCACTAAACTGGGGTATTTACTTTTCCCTTGTTAATCGGGCATAACCAGGTGACTTCCTTCGAACTTCATACGACATGCAAACGATAATCCAGACATAAACTTACGAACATCATTTCATGCCCGTTTTAAATGAGATTCTACGGGTGAAATGTAACCGATTCGCTCAGCACGCAATCTTGTTAAAGTTGGATGAATGCTCCGCGGCAATAAAACCGTGCGATTTCCGTGAGGGGAATCCCGAAAGTAATCATTCCGTTATGCCTTCCCCAGTTTCGCTTGGCGGATATGAAGTCGGATCATTATTAGATTATCTTTGCCTTTTGAGGTACATGAGTAAGACTTGAAGTGATGTTCTATTTAGATCTGAATTGATGGTTTGGTTTTAAAATTTGGTTTTATATAGTTACGATGAACTGATATACATTACACAGAAATTCAGAGTGAATTTGAAGCGACTTAGAATTAGAGTACCTGTATAGGGAGAGTAGCGACAGATCTGAAACTCCGAAAGGCCATCAGGCCTTCACCGATGCCTCCGCGAATAAAGTTAGGGCCCAAAAGGGCAGCCAACCTATGAATTTCGAATGTCCAGAGCGATTTACAAATAAAAGCATGTATTTGGTTTACTTTTTGCATAAATTTACTTCTTTTTGCGAAAGAACGCTCATTTATGTACATTCTTAGTCATCTTGGTTAGAATTGAAATCTGTAGGCTGGCAGTGAAATTTTATGTGTTAGAAGTTGCTCAGAAGGGTGGCTGCACTTTTGGGCCCTAAGCCCTCCATGAACCGATCTGTCGCTACTCTCCCTATACAGGTACTCTACTTAGAATAAAACAACTTTTTGATCAAAAATACATCATAGCATCAACCAAACAATTTCACTGGTACAGCTTGAACCTACGGGACAACCTTCTTAGTGTTTCAAAGGCTATAAAAGAAATTATGCAACGAAAGGCTGCACGGTGAAAAGATAAAAGCGTAAATTGGTGGTCAAATTGCACGTTTTAGGAACATGACGAAGCCCAACCAATGATTTTCCTCGTTGAAACACTTAAGCGCCCTTTCGAAGGTCGTGATTTAAAACATGCGGAAAGGTAACTACATTGAATAAAATTTGAGTGCTGGTTAGTGAATGATACTTCGCGTGAATAATATTCGAGTGCTGGTTAGTGAATGAAACTTCGCGTGTGTATTCACTATGTAGTTAGTTTGATTTCTAAATTGGCATGCTTACACCAACCACTGCTCGTATCTTCCTTGTATATTTTCCTCTACATTTATCTCTACTCTGCATATTTTACTGATTATGGCCCCTAGGGTCATGAAGCATATGAATATGCAACAAAAGATTTTTTTTCCCACATTTAATTGGAAATTTACTGGTCGAAAAAGTAGAGTGATACTTCTTCAGTCTGCTCATTTCAAATTTAACAGCTGTAAAAGGGAAGCTTCTCTAGCTTCCTCATAATTTTAGGTTTAAAAAAAAGAAAAGAAAAAAAGAGAAAAAAATTAGTTTATTTAATAATTTTAGCTGCAAAATGCACGTTTTACAATCTCGAGGAAACTCCTCCATTGATTGCCACACTGCACGCAACCATCGATATCCCCGCATGTCTTCACCATTGCATGTCTAGCCGTAAGTCCGGTGGCAGGGACTAACCTGGTATCCTTTGCAGGGACGAACGTGGAGTACCGCTACCCGGCCCTGGCCCCGCGGGACCAAGAGACCCACGGCGGCGACGACGTGGCCGTGTACGCGCGGGGCCCGTGGGCCCACCTCCTGACGGGCGTCTTCGAGCAGAACCTCATCCCGTTGGTCATGGGCCGCTCGGCCGACTTGGGGCCCGGCCGCGACTCCGCCAGAGGGGCCGCCGCACCCGCCGCGGCCCTCCACCCCGCCGCCTTCATCCCGCTGGCCGGAATCCTCTGCATGCGCTTCCTACTGGGTGGCTCCTAGCCTCAGGGTAAACACATCATTTTTGATTACGCTTACTGTGGGTCACGGCTTGCATGTCCATTACCACTTCGCATGTACTGGGGGAACTCCATTTTGTAATAACACTAACAAATGGATTGCATCTTGCAAAAAGGAACCAGGAGCATTGCAATGTTGCTAAGATTGTGCGACCTCTTTTGTCTTGGAGGAAAAATCGGATTATCTGTAAACAGTTTCTTTTTTACTCGCTAAAAACTGTAAATTTAAGACAAAATTACTGTGTAAATGTCGTACTTTTTCAAGATTTCAATATTTTTATCGCAAAGGTTAAAGTTGCAGAATTTTAGCAACATTGCAATGCTTCTGGTTCCTTTTTGCAAAATGCAATCCAAATCGTCGCCCGGTTGTCATAAGGACGTATAACTGCAAAGCGAGATGAGCCGTGAAATTCGGTGAGCCGTATGGACGACAGGGTTCATCCAGAAGTTCAGTTACGCGTATATGTGTCAGCCAAGCGAGGAAATATTGGACTAGTGTTCAGGGCCGGATTTAGGGGGTGGCCACATGGGCCGCGGCAAATGTTGTAATTTTTCAACTGTAGGTATCAAGAAAAAAATCTGATTCAGAAAAAAAAAATTACAAACGAGAAAAGGCGGAAGAGATCATCGTCAGATAGAGGGGGAAAAACTGAGAAGAATCGGGAAGAAGTACAAGGTACGCAAAAATTCATCCACGGCGTCAATTAATATTCTTGATAGGACTGCCAAGTACGGGACGATGCGACTCTTGTTAATTTAAATTGGGAGGAACTTCAAATTTTAAGCGGTTCTAATGAGCTCCCCTACGAGTTTCATTAAAAAGTGCCGAACGGGGCCCCGAAAAATTGTTCAACCCTTTCGGTCAACGTTCAGGGGGCAATCGCCCTACAGAACCCTACCCCACCCCGAGCCAACCCACGCGGCCAATCCGCCTCAGGTTGTGGTGAAATGATTGGGAATACAAAGTAACTTCGACAAGTGGAGGAGTCATCTTACATGATGGCAGATCGTAAGTGCACGCTTTCCTTTCTGATATTTGCCATGGCTTGGTTGTTCTAAGCAGGAGATCTTGTTTTTCGTTGGGGCCGATAATCTGCATATACTAATTTTCCGCAGTATTTTGATAGCTAACAAGAATAACTTCTGAGTTTTTTCTGTTCTAAGCAGGAGATCTTGTTTTTCGTTGGGGCCGATAATCTGCATATATTAATTTTCCGCAGTACTTTGTGCAGTATTTTGATAGCTAACAAGATTAACTTCCGAGTTTTTTCTACATCATTATGGGCCGCCATTTGGGTAAAACGATTATAGAATACCAACTTTCATTCCTTCTGATGACAAATATAGTCTTCTCAGTGCACGTATTTCAAATGCAAGAATTAAAAAAAAACTTAATGAACAAGCTTACCGTACGTTGAGATTTTTACACCGAAAAAAAGACGTTTACTCAACGTTCTGGATGTAAAAAAAGTGCGAAAACTCAAAAAATGCCGAATTACCCTCTACAACAGTTCCTTTAGCAATGCCAAGATGTAAAACTAACTGCTCTGGCGGGTAAATTCAGCATTTTTTTTTCTCGCACACTTTTCTTACATCCAGAAGGTTTCATCAACTTACATTTTTTTTTCGGTGTATTTATTAATTGAAAATTTCCCGAAAATCTCACTAGTAATATTACGGAGCTGGTGGTTGTTTAACCGCGAATCAATTCGATGTCCTCGGATGAACAACTGGCTTGCGGTATTCGAGCGCTATGCACAGAGTGCCTCTGCCGAAACCTCGCGTGGGGCTCCTCTCATTAAAAGGCCCGTAAATTTTGTCACTCGTCTTGCCGGCGATATTAAAAGGGCGAACGCGGCTCCCGGGAAAGGAAGGTGAAAATCAACTTCCCGACCGCCGCGCCGCGGTGGCGAAGGGGGATGTCGGACGAACGACGACACTCGAAAAATAATTTAAAAATCAGACGAGAATGTTCTATTAAAAAATCCGCGGAGAGCTGCGGAAAATATGAGAAATACTTGAAAAGCAATTAATATCGGGAATAAAAACTTTTTTTTCGCGTTTTTGTGATCAGCATTATTTATTGCCCGGAATGAAATTAAAGCGTTTATTTTAATTTAGCGCGTGTCCCCGCGCTTGAGAGGCGGCGGAAAAATTTAGCTTGTCTCTGGTTCCGAGTTCCCTCCTCCTCACCGCTCTTTCCGAGTCATCCTCCTGCCCCCTTGCCTCGACGGAGGCGGGTCCGAAAGTTGGCAACACTGTCGTTCCTCCATTTAAACTGCAATAAAGATGATCGATTCTTATCGACGCACCTGGCTCTACCTCTGAGAGTCGATTCATTTCAATAGGTTTAAATGGAGAGAAAACAATATTGCCAACGTGCTGGATACGAAAAATGCATCGCACTGAGACTGTTGATGATCAGCTGCCGTAAGCGCACGCTACCGATATCGAAACAACCAAAGAGTTGACGTGTCCGTCTCTATAAAATTAAAGAGCTAAACGGGATTTACAAGTCATAACGTCGTTCAAATCGCATTTACAAGTTTGGAATAAAACTTTAAAAAGCTTTTAGCGGCCGAAAAAATCCCATCGCTGGCCCGAGCGTGACACTCGTTACGTCAGAATAGGAAGTGAAACATTTTTCAGGGGCGTTCCGATCCGACCCCGTCGAATCTGACAGCCCGGAGTCGGGACAGCGTTATGACTGCCTCGTAAATTCGCCTTCGTAACGGTCGGACGCCTCCCGTATGATTGACGCGTCGGAACTGTTGCTCGAGCCGCGCGCCTGCCACCGATCATCGAGGCCGACGAAGCGACTTTGATGCCTCCCCCGATTTTGACTCGGTGTTGTTGGTCCGAGCGAGCGAGAACGCGGTCCTCTTCAGGGATGGATGGTGGACGCGCTTTCGAACGAATCACACTCTGGTTGTTTGAGGAAGGAGATAATGCACTGAAAAAAAAAGCTTAAATTTGCCGCCGAGAAGTATTTCTCCTTAAATCAAGAATTTGCCTGATTAATGTAAACTGCCTTTTTGCCTAACCCGAAATTATTTTTCTTGTATCAAGAAAAAGTCAGCTTAAAGCAAGATAGAAAAAATTCTTGGCAGCGAATTCAAGAATCATCATGCTTGATCCAAGCTACTTTTTTTTCAGTGTGCGGTTAGTTTGTCGTCCTATCGTGCTTGTCCTCGTGACTTATACACTGGCAAATCGAGGAGTGGAATTCCGTGCCGAAGTCTAAATGGCACCCAACAATGAGTGTGCGAAGTGAAAGTAAGCCCCATAAAAACAGAGGATGCTCCGTAAGAGTGAAAGTCACCCCGTAAAAAGAATGGATTCCGCTCCGCATTCATTTCATTCTGGGTTAGTGGACACAGTATGGACTCCGGCATAGTTTTACTCTAAAATGAATGACAGTGTACGCCTGCAGTCATTCCGCAATCATTTTTGTAGTGAGCTCCAAATTTTTCATTGTGTGCGCTTGTGGTCATTTCGCAATCATCCTTCTAATCAGCTCCACATTTTTAATAATATGCGCTAGCGGTCATTCCGCAATCATTATTGTGATCAGCTTTTAACTTTCCTACTTGCTTTACCTACTGTATCATCTTGAAATATGGGAAACCATTGATCAGTTCTGTAGGCTTTTGGGTAAAAAGGAAAGCAACCACTAAAATTTCTCTAATGGTTGAACCTAATTGTATCAAACACATTCGCAAACGCAACTATCCTACTGAAATGTGGAAAAACCTGCAAACAGCATTTGAGCACACTAGCTTCTCAAGACGATTACCTTGATGTGAAATCAATTCACTGTTCGTCTCAAGAATTTTTCTTGCGTTCAATCGTACGACATTGATATTTAAAATGAACTCAGCAAATCAGTGATCCTTTAGATGATGAGTTTTAAGGGATTCAAATGTTAAATGGACATATTTATTGCTACATGGAACTACGTGCAAGTGGGAAAACGGGGTGTGCTCGTTAGTTGAGGGCCATAGGAATGAATGGGAATCTAAAAGCGCCAATGACGTCGGCGGCAACGATCGAAACGGGGCACGACAGGCAGATCGTTGGTGGGGCTCTTTAACTCATACGCTCTGTGCAGCACAAGGCTCTCGTCACATGCCCACGGCTCACGGGTTAGCGCTTAATTCCACTTGATTTAATGTCAAATCTCGCTTTTCAGTCTTTTCAAAAGGAGCTCTAGCCACTTTTAAATTGTTTCTTATGCAGCTTCCACGAGCATACCGCATCTTTCCACTTGCACATTGTTCATTTTAGCATGAATACGTCCAAATGGTCTTACACCAGAATTTGATCCTATGGTTCTCGCAATGGAGAATTCAAACACTACGCGACTGAATGACGAGCGATGAGGTGGATGTTAAGTTGTGTTTATCTGTTGCAGGGAAGAAGCCGCGCTACCGATTCCCGAGCATGTTCCCGAACATCGACGAGACCCACGGCGGGGACGACGTGGCCGTGTACGCCCGGGGCCCGTGGGCCCACCTCCTCACCGGGAGCCACGAGCAGCACCTCATCCCGGTCGTCATGGCCTACTCGGCCGGCATCGGGCCCGCCGCCTCCATGCCGCACGCCAGCGCCGCAGCCCACCTCCGCACCTCCCCCGCCGTCGTCTGGGGCCTTATTCTAAGCTTAGTACTTATCCTTTACTCTAGCGAGTTCCCGTTGTCGTGATCTGTCCATTAAATTGTTTGTTGTTGTTAAATCCCTTGTTCATTTCCTCCTCACCCTAGGTCTTGACGTCAGAACGCAGGATGGTTCGACTGAGTGGTAGAGCCGAGAGTCCTGTAGCCTGATTTTTGAAATTTTGTGTTTGTCTGGTAGACATAGATAGCACAGGTTATAAAAGGCGGAGCACGATTGGTCGGCTATGCTTATCGCTGCTTTATCGTGCCTTTGTAGGGTGGAATGGACGACATATTGTCGGAAACTTAAGAGGTGCCTTTAGCTTGTCGTGAGTTCTACCCGACATAGGCACGACAAAGTAGTCATAAGACATGGCCGACCAATCACGCTCCACCTATTAACCTATGTCTACCCCACAAACACAAAATTTCAAAAATCAGGGTGCAGACCCAGACAGAAACGATTTATGTATAAATTCGGTTAGAGAAGCTAATTGAGTCGGTCAGTTACAAAAAGGCTCAATAAGCGCCAGACATAAAAATACGAAAAAAAAAAAACAGTGAAAACTTCATAAAACAACCCCTTTTAAATTGCAGATTAAGTAATAATGTAATTAGCCAATTCATCTTTTTAATATTTTAGAGCTCTGAGATTTATAAAGGGTCCATTAAACCGTTTTGATTAAGCAGAATACCATCATCCGAATAAAATCCCGATCACTGACCTGAATAATGATTCTGATGGCAGAAATTGAAATAAAAAATTACAATATCACGGGTTCAGAATAGCGTGATGTGGATACGAGAAATTGGAGCTCAAATGTTTAACACTTGGGCCCTTTCGAGAACGAACGTTTCAGTTGTCGTCGGGAGGATTCCGTTCCCGGATCGAACCCACTGGCCCAATTACGGCGCGGGGCGTAAATCATCCGCCGGCCGGGGCCTCGCCTCCGGAAGTCCGAAGTCAAGTCAAATACAACAGTTATTAAATGGATACCTACCGGGGGCTGAAATTGTAAATGAGTTTGGACAAGAGTGAAAGGTAAATAAAATAAAGGGCGAGTAAAAGTGGTACCCGACGAGGGGGGCGGGGAGTTCCGAGCGAGGGGAGCGCGAGACAAAAGTTGCGGCTGCAGGTCGCTAGGGGCGGGGGAGGGGGCGAGGGAGTCGAGTCGCCCAACATTTGTTTTTCATCTTCGCTTTAATTCGAGCGGGGGTCGGCGACGCGACTCCACTGAATGAACAAACTTTCGACACTTTCTCTTCACTTTGTAATTGTAATGAAGGTAATAAACGCTCTTTTTTTCGCGCCACTATCGTTCTCCCGGCTAATTTACCCCTTGTTTTTTTCTTCTCGAGAGCGCTCCGTTTAGAAGGACCGGAGATAAAAGCCCCCCCCCCCTCCGACCTTCGGGCAGGACTTCTGTCTCGGATATGAGAGTAGATTACGGACGACTTTCCCACCGTGGAGGAATTAAACCTCCTTTCCAGTCGGGAGGAAATTGAACGCTGGTGAGAGGGTTCCTATTAGTAGCGGCGTAACGAGAGAACGTAGGTTTCCCGTAACGTGAACGTTCGATGAACTCAGTAGTGGAAATTATCGATTAATAATCTAGGATTCTACCGAGAGGTAAGTAAAGGCATTATTATTAATATTAATTACTATATGTATGATACGAGGTGAAGTTGGGGGGGCCGGGGTTCGGCCTGATGGTGGGTGGGCTGCCTGGGACTGAATCGAATTGGAGCTACTATCGTCTCTTTAGTTTGAATTTTCTACACAATTTTCTGGTCGACACGTACGACCATCATACATTTTTAGTCGCAAATTTTAGAAAATTCACCAAATATTATTAAGGATTTACCTTCTTTACATTAGAGAAAAAACATTGTATTATCGGTGATTATTAAACGTTGGAATGGGTACACAACACCCCCCTGTCCCCCGTATCATCCACGTATCTACTTCAGACACGGCTGCATGGCTGACCTTGACGGCCCGGTCCATATCAAGAGTCGGGTTCTGCGGGCTGGCTGATGGTTGAAATGGTTAGACAAAGCTGTAGGCAAAGAAGACAAAAGGGGTATCTAGGGATCCTATTGGTGAAAAGAGGTGGTTGCAACGGGTATATGAGGAAGGTAATAGAATAAAGAATGGCAACCCCCGAGAGACCCTATAGTTAGTCCATCATTTTCGCCCTTAGTCCATTAGCAACAACAGCATTTCAACCAATAGGATCGCTCCTCACTTCCTATATCTACTTCGTCTGTCGCTGTGTCGATCTATTTCAACAATCATCCCGCAGGTCTCCGAAGTTTCATACGCTGCGCCGCCGGCACCGCATCAGAAGCCTCCATAATAGGTTGTAGGTCCTTAGGATGAAAATTTAACGCAAAAGCAGCGGGGGTTTGAACAGCATGAAAAGAAGACAGACATTGACAGTAATTAATAGAGGATTAAACACGGTTTTCAGTTAAGTTGATAGTAAAGCAAAGATGTATTGTCGAGATCAGTTTATGGCAAGACGAAGCCTAACTCGAAAGCAAGAGAAATAGGCAAATTCAGCAGATTCGGTTTTATTCAGTGGATGGACGCGCTACAGACTGATCTATATCTGGGATCAATCATACCATAAATTTTGGGATCGCTATACTTCTCTAAGTAAGCTGCGATCAGATATTTTTCAGTTAAGTTGATAGTAAAGCAAAGATGTTTTGTAGAGATCAGTTTATGGCGAGACGAAGCCTACCTCGAAGGCATGAAAAGTTGGCAAACTCAGCAGATACGGTTTTATTAAGTTGGTGTACGCGCTACAGACTGATCCATAACTGGGATCAATCTTACCATAGAATTTGGGACTCCAACTTCTCTAATGGACCACTAGACAAGGTACGAATTTCAGCATTCTGATACATGTATCTTAACCAAAATCTCACGTAGAACACGATGCGTACAACGAAAATTACCGAAATCAACTCCTTACAAAGATATTTAATGATTCTTGATGCGTGAATTCAAACCACCCGCTCATGAAAACTCAATGCTCTACGTGATGATTCACATCGCGCGCTAAACGTTATCATGACAGTCTCTGCGATATAAAAATCTGGCAACCTCTATCTTGACGCTTTGGCTCAGCTATAGCAAATTGCTAATAGTTTGAACAACACATGGTGAGAAATGAACATTGCTCGATTGAGAAGCTTGCGGAGACCGTTGCATTGCGCGATTTGACTCACGTAGAGCTTTGAGTTTCTTGTGAGCGGGCAGTTCAAATTCCTCGTAACCAATGTGAAATAAAAACGTTATATCTTCGTTAGGAGTTAGTTTTAGTAATATTCCTTGCGCTCGTGTTCTACGTAAAATTCTGGTTAAGGAACATGTATCAGAATGCTTAAATTCGTACCTTGTCTAGTGGTCCATTAAGCTGTGATCAGATATGAAAGTCTGAAATTTAATATTTCTCCGGCGGATCACTTACGAAGTAAGAGGGTTTTGTTCGGTGGATGGACACGCTATAGACTGATCTATATCCGTGATACATCTTACCATAGAATTTTGGGTCGCTACTTCTCAAATTAAGCTGTGATCAGATATGAAAGCCTGAAATTTAAAAATTTCTTGGGCGGGTCACTTACTGAATAAATAGAATAAGAAAAACGGGGTAGTAGCCCTCCTTAGAACACAAGTAAAATTACGCTCTGATTAAACTCAAGAACGGCGGTAATAGAACTATCCCAATAGAGTGCCAGGAAAGGGCGCGACTAGCTCCCACGCAAGTACCGAGATTTAATTAAGTTGGCTCCATAATGGTCGCATAATTGAATTCCGCTTTAATATAAGACACATGGCCGCCCCGAAGAAAATGAACGTAGTGCGAGTGCGGAATACATTCCCGGAAAAACACAAAAAACAATAAGAAACATCAATATTTATGAATTCGAAAATCCGGCGCGGAATAATGAAGAGACAAAAAAAGGGGGACGGGGGGACCGCGGGGCAGGGGGGGGGGGGGGGGGAGGTCGGCGGAGGGAGGAAGATGAAGTCGGGAGCCAAAGTGAAAACTTGAAAGTTTTTTAATTAAAAATTGTAACGACTCCTGAAACATAAATAGGACATTAATAACGAGTAAAATGGCTCACGACTTCGAGAGTGATTTTGCTGGCCGGCAAAAACCGAAATGAGTTTCTTGCTTTTTTCCGCTCTCGCCCCGCGCGCGCGCCCCTCCCGCCAGACGCGGCGCCCTCCCCGCGACGGACATGTGCACCGTGTCCGGAGAGCGCGGTATCTCCTATTTGCCAACTGTGCCGATTCTCAATCCGTTATTTATACGTAATTTAACACAATGCCGGGTCTCTGCGGTCTGCGCCTCTTGCCTCCGTCGCTCCCGGCGAGGATCTCCCCCCCCCCCCCTCNTTTCAACCCCCCTCCCCCCCCCCCCCGGGCTGTTTTCTTTCAATATCACCCGCTGACTTCGGACCTATCGCGGCTCCTTTGCGAATGCTCGTATTTACATGGGATGGAAACGCGCGGGACTCGAGGATATTGGCTTCATTGGGGATGTGTGGGAGGAGGGTGCCCGAGTTACTGAAAGCTGCCGCGACGGGCGTGTCGTCGTGTTTCGTGAACGTCGGAAGGAGAGTTGGTTCTGCTGCAAAAATATGCAATGAGAAAAATGAGGACACTTGAGAAGATTAAAATAACATTAGAGCTCGACTTTTTTGGCTCTATTTAAAATGCTTGACCTATTAGGCGTTCTTTTTCCCATAGAATAGTGTGGATTACCGCTATTTTACCATCTTGATTGAAATCACGTTGTGGCCTCTTGATGATGACGCAAATGACCTTGCAAAAGAGGCTCTTCGGTTTATGGTCAAGAGTTTGGAGGACACTGAA